GGTTAGGTATTAAAAGTTCGTACACACGATACACACACTGCACATATCGCGTTCCATTTAAGCGTGGCAAACTGTGTTTGAGTGTGTTATACTGTGTCGGTTTGTGTCTTCTAAAAGGAAAGCAGCCTAAACTACTGCAATAATATCACAAGTTAAATTAAATCGACAACGTGCTGAAAATTTAAATAAATTTATTGCGAAAAATATTACCTCGGCCGGGACTTGAATCCGGATCTCTTGTATTCCGTACGAGCGTCCTAAGGGTGGAGTCCCATGAAGCGTATTTGCCGCGTATCGCGTAACCGCGTAACCAATCAATAATCAGTAAAACGCGAAATCACAACAGCGAATCGCTTCTGATTGGTTACGCGGTTACGCGATACGCGGTAAATACACCTCATGGGACTCCAGCCTTAGTCATTATACCACCGAGGCCTTAGTAATATACTTCGCAATAATCAGTATATGTAAGAACTAGAGAGCCTATAATCAGAGTGGCGCCATACGAGTATCACTTGTGATTGGTCCGCCATGTTTTAGCTATTCCCTCCAGTTTTTCAACAGCATTATCTTCTAAATTTTGTATTCATGCTAAAAATGCTCAAAAATTGTGACAAAAAAAACAAAAAAATGGTAATAAGTAAATATTGTGTACAAAATAATGTAACTTTTACATATTTATTACAGAATAATTTTATTTATTGCATGTTACTTAATACAAAACAATATTATTTATTGCACATTTGCGCTATATCGCGAAAATAAAATTTATTATAAATAATATAATAAGAGGAAATAAACCGCAAAATAAAACTTATTTTATTTAAAAGAATGATAAATTTAAAAGAATGATCGCCATAGATTTACTATCATAATATTTGCAATTTGATAATACAATTTTACGCCTATTTTTAAATTTTAAACGCACTGTAGCAAATTTTTTAAATAGCTTTAAACGCAAATTACGACAATCAAGAATATGATTTGTGGGAACAGAATTAAATTCATTAACTAAAAAGGTATGCAAATTTACATTACGCATTTTATCAAAGTAAGATCTGTATATACATATATATATATATATATATTAATGTCTAAAAATATTTTCTAATTGTAAGAAAACTTGAAATGTCGCCTCATTGACAAAGTATAAAGTATTTACGTTGTAACATTTAAGTCTCGTCAGTAAAGAATATTTAAAATTTAATGTTCTTTTTGAGCCAACAGATTCTATACAAATACTACATGAAATACATGTTTTTTTAACAGATGTCAAACAATATCCTGCAATGTCATATAAAGAATTCATCTCTTTGTTATTATACTCTATTGTTAAATTATTATTAAAAGGAGGAATTTGATCTAGGATTGCAGTAGATGAATGAAATACAGAAGAATTAAGTACGTCGCTTTTTTTATACTTTAAGTAATCTAAAAAACCAGAAAGATATTCACTGTTATCAGTTTCATAATTTCCTGTCAATATTGGTTTTGTGTACATCGATAGCAATTAGTTTTAAATTATTTTTAAATTGTAACGAATCTAAAATTGGATTTTTTTGTCGCAAAAGTGAAAATAGATTTTCTATACAGTCTTGTGTAAGACGACCAGTCAAAACAAATAGAAAATTGCGATGTTCTAAAAGATACTCTACTAAATCAATAATTGATGTTGTGGAAAGTATGATACCTCTTTGTACAGGTTTAAATTTATCTTCACTACCTATTTTTATTTTCGTAAAAAGATATATTATTTCACGAAGAAAAGAAATGCTAGCATTGTATATTTCTTTATTTTTTGTACCCAATGCCGTACAACATGTTCTAGAAGTCATTAATGAGAACCACTTAGATAGTTGTTTAACGAACCATGAGGTTGTAATATATTCGGGCTTATGATTTTCATTAGCTAAAAATTCTAATGCACTACTGACATGGGTGGAGAAAACATTCTTTGCTTTGTTTACTCGCATTTTATTATAAGTATTAGTAGGTTTTACATCATCAAAATTTAATCTAGGCGTTAGAAAAAATTCGAGATCTTTCTGAGATTCTATTAATTCCATAAAATGTTTAATTTCAACTCTATTACATGGTAGTTCATATTTACTAACAAATTCTTCTGGTAAGATGAAAAATTTGTTGTTAAGTAATGATTCTTTTAAATTTTTCAAAAGGTGTGGTACATCTGCGATGAAATATAACAATCTATTAGGATCAGAAGGATGAGGAATATGATTTCTAACGTCCAAATTCCGTCCCACACTTATCCCACAACATTTCCATAATTTATTATTTCCAGGACCCATGTCAGAAGTTATATAGTTGACACGAAGACTAATTATAGTTCAGCTTTATCAATTATCTGTAAAATGATATCTTTTAAAACTGCTCCATCAAATGAGTCTCCTGTATAAAAATATCCTACAATGTGTTTCCATCGATTAGCTGTACCTGTTAACATTAATGTTAAAGCATGCGTTGCAATAATTTCTTTATTTGGAAATGTTATATTTCCTAGTAATGTTTTTGTTGAAGAATCATGAACACGCTTTGGTGTTATACTTATTTCATCAATAACAATTCCACATTCTCTATCAGTATCATTTTGAAAAGAAGATACTTTAAATTGTAAAAAGTCAAACATTTCCTTTGAAATGCCACTCTCAAATTTTAAATCTTCCAATCTTCGTTGTAAAGTGCGCAAACTTGGAAGCGGCATTCTTTGTTGCAGAAGCTCTTCGTAACCATTATTACCACAAGTAAACCTTAATCTAAGTACACGTTTAATAGTTTCATCAAGCCAATTTCTTGTTCTTCGTTTTTTTATTAATAAAGCTTTAATTTGATCCCCTCGTTGAATACTTCCTTTAAAGCTTTTTTATATTTATCGTTATTAATTGTATTTTCAAGTCTTAGAATTTTAGATCTTAAAACACTCATTCTTTTATGCATAAGAGTTAAATGGATTTGTATTTTTCGATTTATTTGTTCTAATTTTTTGTTTTTATCCTTTTCTTTTTTTCCATCGATTTCTGTTGTACTTGAAGTACATTTTGTTGATGTATTAGGAAATGTATTGATTATCTTTGCATTAACTTCAACGGTTTCATTTACAGCTATCTAAAAAAGTAAATTTATTATAAAATATTTATTAAAAATATTTATAAATATACTTCAATTATGGATTTTTATCATTTTTATCATCATTGATTTTACCTGTTTATCATTTACTATAATTTGATCTTCATTGCAATCGTCAGAAATAAACGTACTTTTATCCTCTACTACACCAAAATTTTGATTATTAAAAGGTACTTTCTTCTCTAGAAAATATCCAAAGATTGTTGGAACTGCATTTAGTTTTAATTTCTTTTTATTATCCATTCTCTGTTCCTACATTTCAGGAGCAAAATGTATCTATAATAATACAAAAGAAAACAAAAGTTTATAAAAATATTTCATATGTCATTTCATAAAATATTAGATATAATTATTATATTATTTGATTTGAATACAATATGTAATGATACACAATTGAAAAGGTTATGACAAAAAAAGAAAGAATTAAATTCGTAACTAATGTGATGACTATATATATTTTATAATTAATCTGTATACATTGTATATATTACTTTTTTATTTTAATATTGTAAATGCATTATTTATAAAAAGAAAACTTTACCTCACATACAAATGGATTTTTGGACGGTGTCCAATTTTTATATTTGCTATTTATACTGTTTACCCATTTCATTCGTCGTTCTGTATCACTCGGGATTATTTTCATAACATATCCTTTTTTTAATGCATTATTGCAAAATAGTGCTGTACATCCAATTATATTTCTAAAACAATTTCTATAACTTTAATGTTTAATAAGCAAGCTATTAATTCTATCGGCTGCGTTCAGCAGAACACAACAGTTGTACAACGGTTTACTGATGAGTTACAACATGTTGAGTGTTCTGCTGTGAACGCTCTTATGAACGCTCAGGACGTTCTAATGCTGGTGCATGCGTGATTACGGAAGAATTTACAATTAATAGATGGAAATAGACTTCAAATAATTATAGTAGATATATATATCCTATTTGTATCTCAACACGCTGACATGATCGAAAAATTAATTCTTAGATAATTCTTGGTATATATTAAGCTGATTCTACAATGAGTTGATAGTCGAAAATCTTAAGTCTTAACCAGTCTTAACCTAAATATATGATTATGATTTTTCGCATCTACAACTTATTAATGTATAGGAAGTCGTTCAGCTTGACTAATGGGAAGAAATAAAGTCGAATTTGGTAAGTCTTAAGAAAATCGGTAGTCTTAATCATACAAGTTGGCTGTTGGCCAACTTCACCGATTTACTGATAAGACTTATAGGACTACAGACTATTGACTCGTTGTAGAATCAGGATTATACGTATATTTTTATTACTTAAGAAGGGGATATTAAATTTGTTCATATTCAATTAGTTTGTTTGAGGATTTTGTAGCAGGACAGAAAATTACTAATCTGATGAAGGCTTTGTAAGTTGAAACGTTTGAAATCTAATGTAACTTTAATTAAAATGAATTGTATCTTATAATTGAACTATTATTGCTTGTTATAAGCCTTGATATTAATTATATTATGTTGCATTTACACAAGCTTACTTATTCTTTAGAAAATATAGAAATTTGCCGAGCGTACCTCTAAGTCGAAGGACACAGAGATCCTGTGGACTGATAGTCAGTCGCATTTTAGTAAATGCATGCATGTATGCTAACATAATATAGAAAAGAATTTTGGATAGACAGTAGAATGTAAGAAATAAGAATAGGCTGATGAATCAGGTTAGCTCTTAATATTGTATATATATTTTTTTTTAAATCTTCTATTGACAGCAGGAAACATGGATGCAATATTATTTGCAATGGATGACGACTTAAATATTGATATGTTTAATAATGGACTGAATATCGCAATAGTTAATAATGGAATTAATATTGGTATGCTCAATTTTATTATAAATGATATGGTCAATCCCTTGCAAGAAAATGAAATAATCGCACGACGTAATGAAAGACCAAAAAATGAAAATTATTTTGAAGGCATTATTCCGAGATATACAGACATACAATTTCTAGAACACTTTCGTATGTCGCGAGTTATATTTGAGGTAATTATAAAATATAGAAGTGTAGGAATAAAAATATATTATTACATATGGTATTTTATAATTATGTTAAATTATTTATTGATACTTAATTGTAATTAATTTAATTTAAGGCATTATTAAACGTAGTAGCACCTTTACTAAATCCGGAAGAATATGTAGATGTAAGCTCATCAAAGAAATTACTATTTACAATATGGATTTTGGCCAAACAAGAAAGTTTTTTAGCTACAGGTGACAGATTTGGTTTAGCAAAATCTAGTGGTCACAATATTTTTAAAAGTGTTATAACTATCTTGTCAGATTTAATGCCTCTCTATGTTAAATGGCCAGATGCCAACGAATGTCAAATATCCAGCAATGTAAGATTTCAACATAAAATGTTTTATAACAACTTTATTGAAATTTAGATGTTATTAAATTTGTTATTTATTTAATCATTTCAGATTTTTGGTAATCGTTCGCGTGGTTTCCAAGGGGTTATAGGTGCAATTGATGGTTGTCACGTTCCGTGTAAACTGCCAGTAAGAAATCCACATGATTATTATAATCGCAAAGGGTTTCATTCCATTATATTACAAGGTAAATAATATTATTGTGTTCAAATATATTGACTGCTGTGTGATATTTAATACGTTTGTTTTCGCATTTTTAGGGGTATGCGATCATAGGGGAAAATTTATAGATTGCTTTATTGGTTTGCCAGGTAGAATGCATGATGCAAGAGTATTCAGACAAAGTCCATTATTTGAAAATATGTCGAATGCAAGGTTACGTTTTATACTACGACAGCTGCACTTAATAGGCGATTCAGCATATCCACTGGTGATGAATCTGATGACACCATATAAGGACAATGGTCATCTAACAGTCTCACAAATACGATATAATACGAAATTAAGTTGCATTCATTCAAGGACTGAAAGATTGTTTGCGCTGTTGAAAGGAAAATTTAGAAAACTCAAATACCTTGACATTTCAGATTTTGATCTAGGAAACAAAATGATTGCAGCTGCATGTACATTACATAATTTTATAATAGATGGTGATAATTTGAATATAGATGATGAAGATTATTTAGAAGAGCAAAATTTACATGAAATAGAACAAGAAGGAGAAGAAGAAATACAAGAGGCTGTACAAAAGCGCAGATATATTACAGATTAGTTATAATTATTAAAACGTATGTTTAAAAATTAGTTTTTTTATGAATATAAATATATATCTTCAAGACAAAAAAGTTAAACAGCCTTTATGTATATAAGCTTTAAAAAGTAAGTTATATTTACAATTGATTTATTTACAGGTAATAAGTTATATTTACAGATAATATAAATTATATAAGTGACATTCGTGACTAGACCTTATCATCCTAATATCAACAGTATGGAAGTATTTGTTTGGATATTTTATGATCTTACATTAGTAGTCTCCAACACTCATCAAAAGATATGTGTTTCATGCATTTGGAAAAATATATTTTGTCATTAGTTTTTTAATATTATTAATTATTTTATAGTGTTATCGCCAATATAGTCCTTGCTGTGTGATTCAAATTCAGATGATCCATTGGTACCAGAGATAGCCAGGATATACAAAACCGACACAGGGAGAAGTATAATGAATTGGCATGTGAATAGG